GCAGTGTAGTTAAAAATGACTTTTACATTTTTAAAGTTTGCTTAGAAAAACACACACACATGTACATGTTTGTTTTGCTAGTATTGGTTATTGAAGCAGAGGCACTCTCCCACTAAGCCACATCCCCAGTCCTTTTTGTTTTATTGTAGACAGGATCTTGCTAAATTGCTAAGGCTGGCCTTGAACTTGGGATGCTCCTGCCTCAGCTTCCTGAGTCACTGGGAACACAGACACCAACACTGCACCTGACCAGTCCAAACCAGTTTTGATTAATTGCTGATGCAATTGTTTTCCAACTATCCTTCCTGCTTGCCCCCTCTGTGCTTCCCCTCCCATTCAATCCCGGTTCATTTTCTATGTTGCAGTCAGAACAACTTGGTTAAAGCAAAAATCAGATCTTATTACTCTCCTTAAAGTTTCCCAATAGCTTCCTGGTGTGCGGGGTATAAAATCCAAACCCCTGGTACCATGACCAGGTCTGCTTTACTCAGTTTTTACAGTGCTGGGGATTAAACCCGGGGTGAACTACCACTTTGAGACAGGGTCTCACTGTTGCTGAAGCTGGCCTCAAACTTGCAATCCTCCTGCCTCAGTCACTATAATAGATGTGTGTCACAGTAGCAGGCTTCTCTTCTCCTGTTTTATCCCCAACTATATGGTGGATACTCAATAAATTTAAATTAGTGAAATAGCAAATAATGAGGTATTAAGGAGCAGAAGAGCAGGGTGGGTGTCTCAGCAGTAGAGTAAGCTTGGCACACACAAGGCCCTGGGTTCAATCCCCAGCACCACAGGCACAATAAAAGTATAAAGGTGGGTCTTAAGAGTGTTTATGAGGGGCTGGGATGTGGCTCAAGCCTTAGCGCGCTCGCCTGGCATGCGTGCAGCCCGGGTTCGATCCTCAGCACCACATACAAACAAAGATGTTGTGTCCGCCGAAAACTAATAAATAAGTATTAAAAATTAAAAAAAAAAAAGAGTGTTTACGAATGCCTGAGAGATGCAGTGAAATTTCAGTAATATATAACACTTGACATTGCCTAACCACAAATGCCTGGGCTCTAAGGCAATCTGCCCCATTCCTCCTACATTTAGAATGCAAACAGTCAGAGACAAGACCAGGTAGAGTAAAGGAAATGATTCAAAGAGAACCCAAGGCCTATGTTGGTAATTTAGAGTAAAATAGGGACTGGCTTGTGGCTCAATGGTAAAGCACTTGCCTAGCATGTGCTGAGGAATTGGGTTCAATTCTCAGCACCACATATAAATAAAAATAAATGAATAAAATGAAGGTCCATCAACAACTAAAAATAATATTTTTAAAAAATTGTAAAAAAAAAAAAAAAAAGTCTGAAATAACTCCCATGTTATCTCTGAACACCTCATTTCCCTAGGACCTCACCATAAGCCAGCAATTATAGTTAATGCCTGAAAGCAAGCACTAAGGCCAGTGGCCCCTAAGTTATTAAATAGTTTTGAAATCACTTGTATATTGAAGTTTTTACTGACAGAAGCAAGTTTTTGAAAAAGTTGGTTTGGACTAGGCACTGAAGAATCCCAGTTTTGCCAGGAGTTGCTCTGTGCAATATTATGTAGGGTAGTATGGTATTATCATTGTTTAATCCACCAATAGGACACTTAGATAACAGTTTTGTTATTTTTACTTCAGTGGCATATACAACCGCCAGCTTCTTTGATCCTGAAATTCAAGTAGAGGCGAGGAAGATCCACATCAGATATACAGCTGTGCCTTCTCCAGCTCCGGATTTGCAGCAAATGGGAAGTGTGTGGCTAGGAAGGACAACAGTGGCTTGGCACTATATGGGGAGGTGTCCAAACTAAGCAAGAGATTCCTTAGGAGACCTGGGTGCAGCTGAGGCCTGCTGCTCCTGTTTATCCAGGTCAGCCCAGGCCTAGCAGAGGTCCACAGGTATATCAGGGTTGGTATGTCCATAAATGAAAAAGGAGATAGGCATTTGGCACTTTCACATTCAAGCTACAGTAAACTGGCCTGAGCAGGAAGGCAAGGTCAGTTCTTAAAGGTTCCCTTAAGATAGACAAATTTTTTCTCTCTTCTGTGTGTTTACTTAAGTATCTGATTTTCAGTTGAAGTCAAATCAAAATATTGTGGTTGTGAACCATTTATCTCTTGGAAAAAGCTTACCTGTTTCATAGGTGAGTAAGAGTCCATAACCTACTATGCCATCATCTCTGTTGTTGGAAATAGTGAGAATCAGCTCTGGATGCAGACCTTTTTCTTTTTCTGTTTCTCTTATCAATTCACTTAAGACAAAATTATGAAAAGTATTTTAAAGAATCATTTGGAAAGAATTTTTTTCCTAACTTTTCTCCTTTTCAGCACACTAATAATTTTTTATTGAATTTTAAAAACATTATTTACCTTTTCTTAAATTATTTTTTAGTTGTCAATAGAATTTATTTATATGCAGTGCTGAGAATCAAACCCAGCTAGGCAAGCGCTCTGCTACTGAGCCAAATCCCAGCCCAATGCTTTACCTTTTAAAACTCCCACTTTTTAAAAAAAATATTTTTTAAGTTGTTGATGGACCTTTATTTTATTGATTTATATGTGGTGCTGAGAATCGAACTCAGTGCTTCACTCATAGGAAAGCACTCTACCACTGAGATATAACCCTGTACCCTAAAGTTCCCAATTTTATAATATTTGTTATTCTAATATATGTGGGCCAGAGAAATACTTTGAAATTTATTGACTGATGTTCTTGTAAATTCAAGACCGGCCTATCTCCTCAGCCATATAAACATCAGTCTGTGGCCACCTATGTCATTAAGTGCATTGTCCTTGTTAATGCAAGCTTCTAACATTTCTTATTCAGAGGTAACAGTAAGTAATGATATTTGAAAAACAATGTTTTTTTTAATGTGTTTTTGTTTTTTTTTGCTACCAGGGATAGAACCCAGGGCACTTAACAACAGAGCCACATCCCCAACCTTTTTTTGATATTATTTAGACATAGGGACAGGGTCTTGCCAAGTCGCTGAGGCTGGCTTTGAACTCATGATCCCCCTGCCTAAGCCTCTGGGATTACAGGAATCCATCACGAAGGCCAGCTGAAAAACAATACTTTTTAGAACAGCGGTGATAGGTGAAATAGAAGATGAAGACTTATCATGTAAAATTTTAAAACCTTAAAAATCATGAAATTTTTAAAAACTGATCAACAAAGTGGCAAGATTTAGAGCAAGGTTGAAATTGCTTATTTTATAGAGAGCTTTTTTTGTGTGTGTTTTTTGTGCTGGGGATTGACTCTAGGGCCTTGTGAGGCAAGCCCTCTACCAACTGAGCTATATCCCCAACCCCTTATGGAGAGCTTTTAAAAATAAATTTAGGGGACAAAGTATATGGCCTAATGGTAAAACGGTTACCGGAGTTCTGTCCCCAGCACCACAGAACTAGAATGTCCTTCCCCCACTTCTCCACTTGATAGATTTCTAGTACTTTTAGACTTTGCTCACCCACTCTGTCCTCATGAAAAGCCTCAACTCGTGCAGAGTAATTGCTAGGCTTTCCACCTATGTCTCTACTACATCGTACATCTGTCATTGTTTGGGCAAACAGATATCGAACACTTGTTTTTTAGATTTAATGCTCATAACAAAAAGCTGAAAAAAATCTTACACCACTCACATTTCCCATGGACTTGGTAGGTTATCGCTTCTCGGCCTTTTGGCTAAGATCAAGTGTAGTATCTTGGGTAGGGGTTTTTGTTAGTGATGTTGTTTTTGCAGAATTGGGGGGTTACGCTCAGAACCTCCCATAGGCTATGTACTCTAATACTGAGCTAACTACCCCTGACTTTTTTTAAAATATTGAGACAGGGTCTCACCAAGTTGCTGAGGCTGGCCTTAATTTTGCAATCATCCTGACTAAGCCTTCAGAGTCATTGAGATTACAGGCATGCACCACCTTGCCAGGCAAAACTATCTTGACTTTTAAAACCAACTTTCTTTCTCCAACTTGTTCTTAGGCCCATGAGTTCATACACAAAGTTTCAGAAAGAAAAAATTCAAACTTTGAAGGAAACACAAATATTTCCCTTCAGAAAAATCATAGCTAAAATGTTTAGCTATCCATGTTCACTACTGGCCTCAAGTTGAGAGATTTCACTGCAGTGGTTCAGGAAGGCTCGTAATCCTTCCATTCAAATCAACCCTGGCCTGTTAAGTAGCAAGGGAGAGGTATGGAATGGATGCTCCCTAAAAGAAAAAGACTTCAGAGAGTTCAGACCTTCAAGTCATATATATGAAAGTTTACTTTTGCTGTGCTGGGATGGAATCCAGGGACTTTCACATGTAGGTGAGCGCTCCACCACTGAGCTACATCCTTATCCCCCAGTTTCTCTTGAGACAAGGTCTTGGTACATTGCCAAGTGACTGGAAATACAAGTGTGTGTCACAGTGCCCAAATGAAGAAAAAATCTTAAAATGAGTTCTGTGGGGCTGCTACAAATCCATGTTCTGCAACACCACCCAAAGAAAAATAGGCAAAATGCCTGTCTACCTCCATGCTAAAGGGCACAGTGATACTCAAGCAGGTGTAACTGCATCCCATGACATGTTTCCTTCCTGTTTCCTGGGTTATGTACAAGGATGCCAAGACTCTCACAGTTATTAGCACTCCCTCTTTTTAATTTTTTTTTTGCGGGGGGATGGGGGGGTTGTACCAGGGATTGAGCTCAGGAGCCCTCAACCACTAAGCCACATCCCCAGCCCTATTTTGTATTTTATTTAGAGACATGGTCTCACTGAGTTCCTTAGCGCCTCACCATTGCTGAGGCTGGCTTTGAACTCGCGATCCTTCTGGTGTGCACCACCACACCCAGCTTCTCTCACCCTTTCTTTAATAATCTGAAACGTTGACATTGGTCTGGCTTAAATCTTTCTTTTGCACCTAGGTAAGACTATTCTTTCCCTATAAAAGTTTTCTATGTTCTACTTTAGTCAAAAACTACAAACACTTTGAAATTAAAATATGAAATGTTATGAATAAAAAATAAATGTGGGGTCCAAAATCCACAGTTTGAGATAGTCAACAGCATGGCTTATATAATACCCCACCTCACCCTTCTCAGCAGCATGTTTAGGCAGTCACTGCAAGGCTGCTCTAAAATTATACGGTCATTATGGTCTAACAGTCACATTGGAAACAGCAACCTAAACCCACACCAAGATGGACTGTCTTCTTCAAGAATTCCAAATGTCTTTTGCAATAGCTTCTGCAAGGCCCCAGCCCCTGAGAGGGTGGTGGTATGCTGGGGACATGAGTCCCCCAAGAAGCTGAGTGAAGTTTGGAGATTAATACTGGAAACTGCGCTTTGTCTGGATATCATCAAGAATCTGCTGTAGTTCCTCATCTTCAAATCGCCCCTCCAGGCTGCAAGAGAAGGAAAAGACATGAGTGTCTCAGCAATTGACAATTTCCCCACTCTTATTTTATTGTTTAAAATATTTTTAGTTGTAGATTGACACAATACCTTTATTTATTTATCTTCATGCGATACTTAAGAATAAACCCAGGGCCTCACACATGCTAGACAAGTGCTCTACCACTGAGCCACAACCCCAGCCTTCCCACTGTTATTTGGGCATGTTCATCTCCCAAAATTGCTTACCCATATCTCCTGTACCTTTATCTTTCTACTGTATTTCTTTTTTGCTTTTTCTTGTACGAACATTACAAAATATTTCAAATCCATAAAAAGATATTTTTAAAAGCCTTAACAATTAGACATACTTGATTTACCTTTCATAACTATAATAGAAAAATTGAGGGCCCATCCCAATACTTCTCCCCTTCCTTCCCCAGAAAAAAATCACTGTCCTAAATTTATCATTTCCATACATATTTTTTACTATACATATACTATATGTATCCCTAAGTGATATACAGCTTAGGTTTTCAAAGTTTATGTTTTTAAACTTTATTTTATTACTTAAAATTATTATTTTTTCTGGTCCTGGGAATTGAGCTCCTACTCTGCCAGTGAGCTACACAGTCTTGTTTTTAAACTTTGTAAGAAATGGCCCTGGGCCAGCATGGTGGTACATGCTGTAATCTAAGCAAGTTGGGGGGTTGAGGTAGGAGGATTGCAAATTCAATAACTTAGTGAAACCCTAAGGAACTCAGCAAGAACCTGTCTGAAAGCATAAAAAAATGGGATATATTTTGTGTTTTGTTGCACTGCGCCCTGCAGCTAAGAAGCCAGGATATCAACTTAGGTGTGTGTACTGTTTCTAAAAACCACAAACTAAATATAATGAATTATCAATATAGTTTAGTATTTGCTAATTTTACTACATTCTTGTTATGTATTTTTAGGGAAGTCATAGGATTATAAATGCAATTTGAATAACGTTTAAAACCACATTTTATGACAAAGGGCCTTAAACTTAAATGGCCAAAGCACTGGTATATATGCTCTAAACAGAACTTTAAGAGCTTTGTTTTTCTGATATTAAAAAGTTAATAAAGGGGGCTGGGGTTGTGGCTAAGTGGTAGAAAACTCACCCAGCACGAGCAAGGCCCTGGGCTCAATCCTCAGCACCACATAAGAAAAATAACTAAAAAGGTATTGTGTCCAACTATAACTTAAAAAATAAAGTTAATAATGGGGCTGGGGATATATCTCAGTTGGTACAGTGCTTGCCTCACATGCACAAGGCCCTGGGTTTAATACCCAGCACCACACACAAAGAAATGGCATTATACTATACATATTCTTTTGCAATTTCTTCTTCCAAATTCATTCTGGCATGTGTTGATGTTATTTCATGATGTTCTAGTTCATTTTTTTCATTGCTGTATAATAAACATTATATGACCATAAAATGATTCATTTACCCACACTCTTGTTGATTGATCTGTTGTTGTCCAATCTGTGCTATCATCAGCAATAAACACTGGAATACATATCTCCTAAACGTGTGTGGTATGTCTTTAGGACATGTACTCAGGAATGGCCTTTTGGGTCAGAAGATACAATCATCTTTAACTTTACTAGATGCAATCAAATTGCTTTCCACAGTAATTTTACTAATTTGCAACACTAGTATTAATATATATGAGTTTCAGCTATTCCATATTCTTACTAGCAACCTATAGAACCATCATTCTCTCATATACTGTTAAAAGGTACTCCTGTGCAATGGCACATGACTATAATCCCAGCAGCTCAAGAGGCTGAAGCAGGATAGGATGATTGTGAGTTCAAAGCCAGCCTCAGCAACTGTGAGGTGTTAAGCAACTCAGCGAACTCTGTTCCTAAATAAAAATACAAAATAGGACTAAGGATATGGTTGAGTGCCCCTGAGTTCAATCATACACCTTTTATTTTTTTTAAATTAATTTTTAGTTATAGGTGGACACAATGTCTTTATTTTATATTTATGTGGTGCTAAGGATCGAACCCAGTGCCTCACGCATGCTAGGCGAGTGCTCTACCTCTGAGCCACAATCCCAGTCCCAATCATATACCTTTTGACACAGTAATTCTATTTGTGGGAATTTATCCAAAACACACATATTTTATCTCAACTGGTACTAACCTTGGAATCAGAGCCTTGGACTCCTCAGCAGTCTCTGGGCAAAGGTTGGCCAAACAAGCCAACTCAAACTTATGTAGCTTTTTCTGGAGCAGCAAGCTAATCACAGGAAAGGAAATAAAAAAAAAAAAAAAAGAATGATCAACAGAAAAAAGGAAGGTCATACATGGCTTTATGTGTGCAAAGCTCAATACTGCCCTTTATCTCCAAACCCCATTTTTTCTGTTTTTGAATATAAACGGTATTCTAGTAAGACAAATATCGGTGGGTTCCATGGGACCCAAGGAGTCAACCATGTGATTAAAGGGTTAGAATTTTCAGGCTCTCCTACCCTCCTCACTGTCTAAGGGAGAGGGGCTGAAAGTTGAGCTGATCACCAATGCATAATGTTGTGGCCAATCATGCCTACATAATGAAGCCTCCATAAAAACCAGAAAGAACAGGGTTCAGAGTTTCCATGTTGGTGAATAAAAACATAGCCATGTTCTGGCTATATTCTGGCTCCATGGGAGGATATCACATCTCAACTCCAAGGAGATAGAAGATCCTGTGCTCAGGACCTTTCAGAACCTTGTCCTATGTTTTTCTTCACCTGATTGTTGAAGCTGTCTGCCTGAGTTCAACAGGCTGTTTTTAACAAATAAATCTAATTTAAGGAAGGGGTCACTAGAACCACCAAGGAAAAGGAAGTGGGTAAGAAGTTCAAGTCACAATCTGAGATTTGTAATTTATATCTCAAATAGGGGGCAGTCTTGAGGCCCCAAGTTCTTAACCTGTGAGGTCTGACACTCTCCAAGAAGAATGTCAGAATAGAACTGAATAACAGCTGGTATTGAACTGCTTGGTATGAGGGGGAAAACTCCTCATATATCAGGTGTCAGATGTGTTGTGCCAAGTGACTATGTCAATAGGAAAAAAGGATTTGTTTTTTTCTTTCTCAGAAACATCCTCAAATGCATACTTCTTTGTGCATCTGATTGATTTCTGTGTGGGTATCCTTTTGTTCTTTGTTCTATTTATTTATTATTGGTACTGGAGATCCAACCCAACGGTACTTAACCACTGAAATATATCTCTAGCTGAGGTTTGACTGGAATTTGCAATCCTCCTGCCTTAGTCTCCCAAACTGCTGGGATTATAGGCGTATGTCACATGCCCAATAAAATATACTACCACTCCTTAGTGGTTTTTTGCAGTACTGGGAATTGAACCCAGAGCCTCACTCATGTTAGGCAAGCACTCTACCCCTAGGCCACACCCCAGCCCTCAAATTATGTTTTAAGTTTTTTCACCATTTTCTGTATACTGAACGTATGAACGTCTGCTAGTTTCATTTTTAACTACATTTTTAATTATAAGCCTCTTCCAAATGGAATTACCACAGTATATTTAATTACTGCTGAATCTTTAGGTTGTTATCTTTGGTCATTAAAGATAGTTCTAAAGGGTCTGGGGTTCTGGCTCCATGGTAAGGCACTTGCCTAGCACGTGTGTAGCACTAGGTGGTTCAATCCTCAGCAACACATTGAAAAAAAAAACAAAAAACCTAAATAAAGTTCAAAAACATAGTTCTAAGAGTGGACAGTGTCGTTCAGTGGTAGACCTCAATGTTATACCATGTGTTTAACATGCTAGAGGCCCTGGGTTCAACCCCCAGCATCCAAAACAAAGCAAAACAAAAGTGGCCAAAGGGACCAGGCATGGTGGCACATGCCTGTAATCCCAATGACAGGAGGCCGAGGAAGGAGTATCCCAAGTTTATAGCCAGCATTAGCAACTTAGGAAGGCCCTAAGCAACTTAGCGAGACCCTGTCTCAAAACACAAAATAAAAAAGGCTAGGGAGGTGGTTCCATGGTTAAACGCCCCTGGGTCCAATCCCTGGAACAAAAACAAGTAAATAAATAAATAAATAAATAAATAAAAAGTGGCCAAAGGGAATTTTGGTCTTATAAACAACTTAAATTTTTTTTTTTTTTTTGGTCTGGATGCAGTGGCTTGGGAACCTGAAGCAGGAGGATCACCAAGTTCGAGTGTAACCTCAGCAACTTAGTGAGACCTTATTTCAAAATGAAAAAAAAAAAAGGGGCTGGGTGCAGTGGCTCACACCTATAATCCCAGCAGATCAGGAGGCAAAGGCAGGAGGATTGTGAGTTCAAAGCCAGCCTCAGAAAAAGTGAGGCACTAAGCAACTCAGTGAGATCCTGTTTCTTAATAAAATACAAAATAGAGCTGGGGATGTGGCTCAGTGGCCAAGCGTCCCTGAGTTCAATCCCTAGAATCAAATAAAAAGAAAGAAAAAAGAAAAACTGCGGGGAGTGCTGTGGATCAAACCTAGGGCTCCAACATGCTAGTCAAGTGCTTTGTCTCTGACCTAGATTCCCAGCTTAATTTATAAATTTTTGTCAGACATTGTTTTATTTACATTAAACTCACAAGTGTCTGGGAAAGGGAGGAAGAGGCCGTGAGGTGGTATACAGCTGTAATCTCAGCAAGCCAGGAGGCTTAGACAGGAGGATCAAGTTGGAGGCCAACCTCAGCAATTTAGCAAGTCCCTAAGCAACTTAGCAAGATCCCTGTTTTAAAAAAATAAAAATAAAAAGGGATGCAGATAGAGGAGGTAGAGCTCAGTGGTGAAGCATTCATGGGTTCAATCCCCAGTACCAATAAAAAGAGGTGGGGATGGCATTCTACCTGCAGATGTCTAGTAGTCTGAATTAACAAACTTTCTTTTAGCACTCACCTACGGACACTTGCAATGGTCTCTCTATTTTTGAAATGACTGAAACGGGAAGTGTAGTTTAAAGTTTTCATGAAGACTCCTGAGAGTTCCTGCTCATCCTCTGCACTCTCATTTTGTTGCTTTCGATGCTCCAGAAGCATATGAACTTCTGAATTTAGAAGAGTCTCTGCTGTTTCAAACTCTATTTGTGAAAAGCATAAAAGTCAGCTGAAAATATTCCTTCAAAGCCAGCTTATAAATGTTCATTTTGCATTTGAACATCTTCATTTTCATTCACACTTATGTACCACAGGAACAGTAGAATTCATGTGATATCAAAATTTAGCTCATTTGGGGCTAAACATTTTCTGACACCAAAGAATCTGACCTGGACATGCTATTAAACAGCAATACATCCTTACTCTAACTGGGCAAGTTACTGATTTAAAATCAGGGACCATTAAGAATTATTTCTTGCTGGGCCTGGTGTCTCATGCCTGTATTCCCAGCAACTCAGGAGTCTGAGACAGGAGGATCACAAATTCAAGACCTGCCTCAGCAATTTAGTGAGAACCTGAGCAACTTAGCAAAACCCTGTCTCAAAATAAAACATTTAAAAAAATTATTTCTCTCTAGCCTGTAAAAAGTCATAGTCTTTTTTTTTTGTTTGTTTTATTTCTTTTTTTTTAAGAGAGAGAGAGAGAATTTTTTAATATGAATATTTATTTTTTAGTTTTTTCGGCGGACACAACATCGTTGTTAGTATGTGGTGCTGAGGATCGAACCCAGGCCGCACGCATGCCAGGCGAGCGCGCTACCGCTTGAGCCACATCCCAGCCCAAAAGTCATAGTCTTTATAGTTCTACAATGCTAACACTGTACTCTCAATTTTAAGAAATGTTACATGTTAAGAAATGACAAGGTGGGCTGGGCGCAGTGGCACACACCTGTAATCTCAGTGGCTTGAGAGGCAGAAGCAGAAGGATCATGAGTTCAAAGCCAGCCTCAGCAAAACAGCTAGGCACTAGGCAACTCAGTGAGACCCTGTCTCTAAATGAAATACAAAATAGGGCTGGGGATTTGGCTCATTGGTCAAGTACCCCTGAATTCAATCCCTGATACCTGCCCCCACCCCCCAACCCCCAAAAAACAGGGCTTAAAAAGAAACCTATGACTACTTTCTATAATACATAGCAACCATGTGGGTCACAGTGGCACATGTCTGTAATACCAGCAACTCAGGAGGCTAAGGCAGTAGGCTAGTTCAAGGCTATTCTTGGCAACTTAAGATAGACCATTAGCAACTTAGCAAGACCCTGTCTCAAAAATAATAAAAATTGTGGCTGGGCACGGTTGCCCTTGCCTGTAATCCCAGCAGCTGGGGAGGCTGAAACAGGAGGATCTAGAGTTCAAAGCCAGCCTCAGCAATGGTGAGACACTAAGCAACTCAGGGAGATCCTGTGACTAAATAAAATACAAAATAGGGATGGGAATGTGGCTCAGTGGTTGAGTGTCACTGAATTCAATCCCCAGTTCCAAAATAAATAAATAAATAAAGATTGTGCCTTGCATGCACAAGGCCCTGGGTTCAATCACCAGCACCATCCATTCATCCATCCATCCATCCATTCTGTGGATGTACTCAGTGGTAAAGCACCTCTGGGTTCAATCCCCAGTACCAAACACACACACACACACACACACACACACACACACAGAGCAAGCTATATTTTCAGAATAACACTATTAAAAATGCCACTATCCCCTTGGGAAAATCATTTCTGTGACAATGTTCCTCATACTTATCTCAAAGTATTAGAGCTGGGTTTTGTCTGCCTTTCTTTCCCTTTCTAGTGATTTCTTCCAACGTAGGAACCATTTGCAAACATGAATTCATGTTTATGATCCTAAGAGGATGCAACAGCAAGAAAAATCTATGGAATTTAAAGGTGATATGGGTGTGCTTACTAATAGAGAAATCACTAATATCTCCATCAGAGTTAAGCCTTCCCATTTTTTGAGGAGGAAACAGTATTTTTATTAAAAAGGCACTTAGTGCTGCCAAATATAATAAGTAAAAAGATATTTCCCACCTGACGGCAGCAAAGTTTGGAAAAAAAAACAAAAACAAAAAAAACCTTCAGTACATCATAATCTTTTCCAGTCCCTTAGCCTATTACAGGAGATATCCCCACACTACCTATTATGAAAATTTACTTCTCAGCTTCAACCATCTGGGGTATAAGTTCAGGTGAAGAAAATAATGCTTCAGGCAATTAGGGGAGAAGATATCAAATCAGGACTCTAAGACCTCAAAACTGAAGTGAGAGGGACAACTGACATAACACCTGCCACAACCTGCTCCCAAAAACAAGACAAGGCAGCATATTTTATTTTTAGTTGAAGATGGACACAATATCTTTATTTAGTTTTATGTGGTGCTGAGATTCAAATCCAGAGCCTCACACATGCAAGGCAAGTGATCGACTACTGAGCTACAACCCCAGCCCCAGCAAATTTTATTTTTATTTTGAGACAGGGTCTCACTAGATTGCTGTAGCTTGGCCCCAAACTTCTGATTCTCCTGCCCAAGGATGGTCTTGCATGTGTGTGTGTGTGTGTGTGTGTGTGTGTGTGTGTGTCTCTTCAGGGATTGAACCCATTTTATATTTTATTTAGAGACAGGGTCTCACTGAGTCGCTTAGGGCCTCACTAAATTGCTGAGGCTGGCTTTGAACTTGTGATCCTCCCGCCTAAGCCTTCTGAGCCACTGTAATTACAGGCATACGTCACTGCACCCAGCCATAAATGGTCTTCTTATGCTGCATATTTTTCACTCTGGTACAAAATGGTTTAGAGGATTTCTTTAGATGGGGGAAGGAGAGACTAGGGTCATATAATTCTTTTTTTTTTTTTTTTTTGGGAAAAAAAAAAAAAGGCTCATTTCCTAATTTCAACAGTTATTGCTAATTGTGTACAGATAAAGGAAGATTTTATTTGGAGGCAAATATATCTGAAAGCTACTACTGACAGTATTCACCTTTGTGATCTTATCTACTCTTACAATCCCACAATAAAATATCACACACTTATTTACATTCTACAGTAAAGGTTTCCTTATTTTCTTTAGTACTTACTGTTATTCCTATTTCTCTATGTATATTCTAAAATACATAATAAACATTTTATATGCCTATATCAGCTGAGAAGATTAACAGTTAGTGAGAACTCTAAAACTGTTAACTGATGGAACTAAGATCTAATTATATCCAACTCAATAAATCATGTGTATCAGATGTTATTTAAGTTAATCAAAAACAAATATCTTCAGGGGCTGGGGATGTGGCTCAAGAGGTAGCGCGCTAGCCTGGCATGCGTGTGGCCCGGGTTCAATCCTCAGCACCACATACAAACAAAGATGTCGTGTCCGCCGAAAACTAAAAAAAAAATAAAATAAGAAAGAAAAAAAAAAGTTAAAAAAAATCTTCAGAATGTAAAAGGAATCCAAAAAGAAACCAAATTAAAAAACTAAGTTTATATATATATATACACACACACACACATATATATATATAATATATTATATTAAAAAAAACTTTACCATGGAATTAGGAAAACCATCTTCTTTTTAGTTATTATACCTTAAAAACTAAGCACCTATTTCCATCTCACCAAAAATGTCTATGATTTTGTCCCATGGAAGAACTGAACCTCCATTCTATAGGAACTGTTTGCCCTTTAAAATAAGTAGATAGATCTGGGTGTTATAGTACACACGTGTAATCCCAGCTACTCAGAAGGCTGAGGCAGGAGGACTTACATGTTTGAGGTCTTTGACCCTATCTCAAAATAAAAAATGATAAGGGAAGGGAATGTAACATAGTGGTAGAGCATCCCTGGATTCAATCCCAGGTACCACAAAAATAAATTAAAAAAAAATAAAATTTCTCTATAGTATGTAGTCAAATTTTGTAGAATTTCTATAGCAATTTTTTTGCCGGGGGGGGGGGGTTGCAATGCTTTGGATTGAACCTAGCAACCACACAGTAAGCAAGCACTCTACAACTTAGCTACAACCCCATCCCATTTGTGTGTGGGCAAGTGGTATGTTTCTTTCTTTCTTTTCTTGTGCAGTGTCAAAGATAAAATTTAGTGTCTCACATGTTAGACAAGTGCTCTAGTACTTGAGTTACACTTCTAGCCCCTATGTGTATGTTTCTGTAAGCATAGGTTTCATAATATGGAAGGATAAGCACTTAACTATTTACAGTAGCTTCCTCTGGGTCAAAAGCATATGGAGTTTCACTTTTTATTGTGCATATAATTTTTTTTTTTTTAAAAGGTACTGGGGATTGAGCCCAGGGCCATGCACATGCTAGGCAGGTGCACTATTAGGTGCACTATTATTATTTTAGTTTGTTTCAGCGGACATCTGAAGATAAGATTATGTCTGAGTCTCTTGGAGGGGTAGGAGCCTATGCCAGTTAACAAGCCCAGGAGGGTTTCACAAGGAACAACCTTCTCCTTCCCCGTTTTGTGATGTTTCACTTCCCTGACTCTGCTCATCCCCTTCCTATACCTTCACTCTCCCTTAAGCCCAGAAGTCCTGTGCAATCTTCACAGGTCTCTCTACTGCAATATTACGGATTAAAACCTGTCCAGGGCTAACGATGAACGCACTTGGCCAGTATGCGAGAAATCCTGGGTTCAATTCCCAGCATCACAAAATAAATAAGTAAAAGAAAAAAATCCGCCCTGACCACTTTGGTGTGCGGCTGTGTCTACCAGCACTTTGGAGGGACGTTCACAGATAAAACTATCACTTAATGCTCGGCGGCGGTTCGCGTCTGTAATTCCACAACTCGAAAGGCTGTGACAAAGGACCGCAAGTTCGAGGCCTCACTCAGCCACTCAGCGAGGCCCCAAAATCAAAATAAAGCATAAAAAGGGGGCCGGGGATGTGGTTCAGTGCTGAGCGCTCCTGGGTTCAATACCTAGTATCAAAAAAAAAAAAAAAATGGTAACAAGAGGCCGCCAAGGACTCCAAGGATCGGGGAGCGGCCCTCTCCAGAAGGCACAATGCAAAAGGCAGACCAGAATCATCCGTGCTCTGGGGGACCCTCAAGGGTCGGAGTCCGCGTTCATCGTTCAACGTCGCCCGGGAGACCAGCCCCCACAATCCGCTGAGGCGTCTTGGGCGAAGCTGAGAACCCCAGGCCTGTGGCGACCACGTGAAGTGGCAGGAAGAATCAAGCAGCCCCGTACCTCACCTTTGGGAAAGATAAGCTGTGAGGCGTCCTCTTCCACGTCACCAGCCCGCGGATCACTGCCGCCGGCCGCCATAGCTGCACCGCTTACTACTACAAACACCGCCGGAAGCGGAAGCGTGGAGCAGCTGGCTGCCGCCCCGGAAGGGGTGGGACGGAGGCGAGGCCTGGAATGGGCGGGACCGGAAGGGCAGCGGAAGGAGGAGGCGCGAAGAGGGAAGTAAGGGTTGGTTACTGGAGGTTCTCGGTTAGTGGCGGGTCGTCCTGCGCCGGCTGGCGTTCGGAGAAAACTGCCCTTTTTCTTCTCCAGTACTCCCTTGCTGCCCATCTTGGGATGGATCCCTAGGCTTCCTAGGATCAGGGAAGGATTAGGTGAGGTGCAAGAGTGCGCTAAGGGACTGACCTAAAGAACTGCCTTTGGTGGAATGCTGGATAGGTTACTCCGAAAGCGTGCAATGGAATTGTTCTGTGACTGAAGCATTGTAAAGATTTGATTGATTTCTTATAATCTGATATTTCTGAACCCATGGACAGTAATATTGAAACGCCTTTATCACATCTTTTGGAACATTTGGATGGTAAGTGGAAAATTAAACAAATGAAAAACGATGCTGTCTTCAACTCCAGAGAAAATAGAAGATTGTACAATAAGGGGAAAAATCATAGCCTACTACTTAGCTCTTTAACAAAGAGTATTTGGATAGTCATAATGGAAACTCTGCTGATTTAATAAAAATTTAAGGTTTTATCAGACAAGAATGAATATTCCTTTAACTTGTAAATATAATCATTCTTACAGAATTAATTACTGTGTATCTTTATTTCCAGAAGTATGTATAGAATAAGATACTATAGCTGGTTATATAGTATTGACAGGATTTGTTATTTCAAAGTGCTTTTCTGCACAGTTTATCAGAGCTGCGGTACAGAGTCCTGGGAAGTAATCCTTAGTTATGCTGCAGCTGATTGACAGAAGTGAAGCTGGAACTCCTTGGCAAACTTACTTTCCCTTTGTCACTCCCACAGACCTTTACAAAGCACCTACTAATTGTTGGACCTTGCACTGTGCTGGCCCAAGGGGTACCTGGGTATCCAACTCTTAATTTCTTTACACACTCACAGAGCAGGAGAGAAAGGTCAATAGGTGCAAAAAGAAGAAAGGAGAGTTACAAATACAGTGATATGTCACAGGTTGGATTGTCCCCAACATTTTTATTCAGGAATTTGTTATGAATGACTTTGTACAAGACCTGGTGTTGAAAAGACCTGGCAAAGATCTGTCCCTCAAGGAACTCATTGAGATTAGTTGATTCGAGTTCTGGTAAATAATATGAAAGTCAAAGAAAGTGCCATGGAAAGATCAAGAGAAAGGCTGATGTGGTTTGGATATAGTTTAAGTGTGTTGTCTAAAGGCTCATGTGTTGGAAGCTTGGTCCCCAGTCCAGTAGTGTAAGAGGCTGTGGGGCCTAGTAGGATGTCCTTAGGTCATGGAGAAGGTTATCCTTAGAAGGGATTAACTAGTTTCCTGAGACCCTATCTCTCTGTGGCTTTCTGTCTTGCCATGTGATGTTTCTCTCTTATACATGCTCTTGCCATGATGACATATGCTAATGCTGTGCCCTTGAACTCCAGAACTATGAGCTAAATAAACCTCTTTTTTTCTTATAAAATTCCTAGCCCTGTTAGGGAAAAGATAGATGAGGATGGTGGGAACACAAGATTTAGAGAATAATTTTATAAAATGGACCCACTGTGCCAACCCCCACATGCTTTCTTTTCCAACAAGCAATTTACCTGCATCCTTGCCTGGCCTAAGTGGACAGGATGTATCACATTCCTCAGCAAACAACTACCTGTTCATTGCAAGCCCAAAATAATGAGGTTTTTTGGGGGGAAGTGTTTTGTTTTTTGGGGTACCGGGGATTGAACTCAGGGGAACTCAACGACTGAGCCACATCCCCTGTCCTTTTTTTGTGTGTTTTATTTGGAGACAAGTTTTCACTGAGTTGCCTACTGCCTCGCTGTTGCTAAGGCTGACCATAAACCCGTGATCCTCCTGCCTCAGACACCTGAGCCACCCCACCCCAGCCAAAAATGTTGATCAGAGGAATCCGTATTTACCCTGAAGATGGAGAATTTTGTGACTAGATCCTGAAACTCTGGGAGATAAGGAGTTCCTCCTAACCTTAAAATCTGTAAGAATGTATGATTAAGAATCCAATTAGGGGGCTGGGGTTATGGCTCAGTGGTAGAGTGCTCACCTGGCATGTGCAAGGTCCTGGGTTCGATCCTCAGCACCACATATAAATAAAATAAAGTTATTGTGTTCAACTACAACTACTAAAAAAAAAAAAGAATCCAATTATCCATAATGGTGGAATGTGATGATCATTATTATCCAAAGTACAGGTATGAAGACATGAATTGGTGTGAATATACTATGTATAACCAGAGATATGAAAAATTGTGTTCAATATATGTAATAAGAATTCTGCTGTCATATATAAATAAAAAAATAAAAATTTAAAAATTAAAAAAAAAGAATCCATTTAGCCAGGTGTGGTAAACATTCCTTTAATCCCAGCAGTGGGGGAAGCTGAGGCAGGAAGATCTGCAGTTAAAAGCTAGCCTCAGCAAAAGCTAGGTGCTAAGTAACTCAGTGAGACCCTGTGTCTTAATAAAATACAAAATAGGGCTGGGGATGTGGCTCAGTGGTTGAGTGCCCCTGAGTTCAGTCCTTGGTACCAAAAGAAAAAAAGAATCCAATTAGAACCCATCACCATGGGCCAAGGTGACCTAGAGTTGCCATGACTGTGGGGACTTGAAAGTCTGATGTCACCCTACTGTCAGTCAAATGTCAGAGGTGGACCTCAGTGGGACTCTAAACTTCTCTGGGATCCCCAATAAAAGTGGAGTGCAGGAGAGGCAAATTGTCCCTCTCCTCTCTGAGAGGACCAACTCTCTCCTTTGAGAGTATTCCCTTTTCCTTTTCCCTATCTTTTCAATAAACTCACTCCTATTATTCTCAGCAACATGTCTGAAATCTTTCTGACTTGATTACAAGAATCGAGATTTCACCAGGCACAGTGGCAAATGCTTGTAATTCCAGTGGCTTGGGAGGCTGAGACAGGAGTATCTTGAGTTCAAAGCCAACCTCAGCAAGAGCGAGGCACTAAGCAACCCAGTGAGACCCTGTCTCTAAATAAAATACAAAATAAGGCTGGGGATGTGGCTTAGTGGTCAAGTGCCCCTGGGTTCAATTCCAGGTACCAAAAAAAAAAAAAGGAAGGAAGAAAAGAATCAGGGCTTGAAGGGGAGGTCTTCAATGTGCCTCAGTTTCTCAGAAGGCCTAGCTCTGTAACATTCTCAGGTATTTCATTTTAGTAATGAAAAACAGACTAGGGGTTGGGGCTGTGGCTCAGCGGTAGAGTGCTCTCCTAGCACTTGGGAGGTGCTGGGTTTGATTCTCAGCACCACATAAAAATAAATAAATAAAATAAAGATATCGGGTCCAACTACATCTAAAAAGTATTTTAAAAATTAAAAATAAGGGCTGGGGATGTGGCTCAAGCGGTAGCGCACTTGCCTGGCATGCATGCGGCCTGGGTTGGAACCTCAGCACCACATACAAACAAAGATGTTGTGCCCGCCAATAACTAAAAATAAATAAATAAATAAATAAAAATTAAAAATAAAAAAACAGACTAATAAAGGGTTGCTTCTAGTTAGTGTAGGTGGGTGAAGGCCAGGATGATCTGGAGAGGAACTGTGCTGGAGAAGCTCTGTAACATCAAGCAGAAAGCATGTACATAACAGTTGTAATCAATCATTAAGGTAAAATGTTCCAGTGTCTTTGAATGTCATTTTCTTTTTTTTTTGAGAATTTTAATATTTATTTTTAGTTTTCGGCAGACACAACATCTTTGTTTGTATGTGGTGCTGAGGATCGAACCCGGGCCGCACACATGCCAGGCGAGCGCACTATCGCTTGAGCCACATCCCCAGCCCCTGAATGTCGTTTTCATTATTTCATTCTTAGTGAAATAATGAGGCCCGTGCCAAAATTGAGGCGGTGTTGAAACCTGCCTCTTCACCCCAATTCTTGCAGTCATGACAGAAAGGTTTCAGACATGTCCTACTCTCACTTTTCTTGTCAGTGGATTTCATTGTCTGAATTCACAAAACAAGAACCCAGAAAGAAGACAATGGCAGACAGCTGTGGTCTGCTGCACACTACCTCAGTGGAGGCTGGAAATCCAGTTTTACCAGCATGCCCAGCTGATTTCTGGACTTTTTTTTTTTTTTTTTTTTAAGCACATTAGAGTTATACACAGTAGTTGGGTTCATCCTGATAAAATTACACATGCATGGAATTTCATTTCATTTCATGTTCCACCCCTTTTCCCCGCCCTCTTCCCTCCCTGAATTCTGGACTCATAAGGCCTATATGGTCTATGGCAATGTGACCTAAAAAGGCTTGTCTTGTCCACCCTGTCTACCTCAGAGAAGCCCTCCCTCCTCAAGGGCATACCCCATTTACTTCAGTACTCACCTCATTTTGTTTGTTTGTTTGCAGTACTAGGGATTGAACCCAGCGTCTTGCACATGATAAGCAAGGGCAGTACCACTGAGCTACGTCCCCTTTAAATTTTATTTTGAGTCAGGGTCTTCTTCAGTTGCCTAAACTGGAGTTGAACTTGTGATCCTCCCCACTTGACCTCCCAGTAGCTGAGATTACAGGCATGAGTCACTGCACCCTCCTAGCTGCACTCACCTCTTCCTTGAAGGCTGTCCTGACTTGATGGGCTTCACATGCCTGAAGAAGATTCTGGAAGGTTTGACACTTACCCATTGGTCCCATCTACACACAGCACTGGATGATATTCATATGACCACAGTCATCCACCCATTGCAATGTGTGCTGGGGCTTGGGCTTTTCCAGAAGGCTACTGTCAAGATTCACAGCAGTTAAAAGTGGAAAATTAGGGGCTGGGGATGTGGCTCAAGCGGTAACACGATTGCCTGGCATGCGCAGGGCGCTGGGTTCGATCCTCAGCACCACATAAAATAAAAGATGTTGTGTCCGCTGAAAGCTAAAAAATAAATATTAAAAAATTAAAA